GTGTCTTAACTAAACCAAACCTAACTGCTTGGATAAATAAAATAACAACAGATCTTGAAAGGAGAGGAAAGACAAGGGCAGGTAGTATTGACTTAAGGAAAGCTGTAAATGATAGGAGGAAGGACATCTACCTTCGTAGGTGGCTGTGGCCTTGGGCAAACTAGATCACAGTAAGCACATGACATCCCTGGCCAGAAAAATTTAAATTATGTGAATTAAAAGAGATTACTACCACTTGGTGTAGCAGAAAAGATAAATATCAGTAACTGAAACAACTGGAAAAATTACAGGCATCACACGGAATTCTCAAAATTTTTTGAATCTATCAGAAAAAAAAATTAATTCATCTGAAATCCTCTTCTGCTATAAAACAGATATTCAAGCTACTTTCCTGATTTACATGAAATTACTAAAAATACTATAGGGTGTAGCTGTGACACTGCACAAATCCTTTATCCCAATAACATCTTTCTTCCCTTTTTCTATCAAGATCATGACTAGGGGGAAGAATGTTAAAAGTCAAAGATGGTCCTGGACATTAAATTCTTTCATGAACTATTTAGAAAGTTTAAACACTCCCTAATGAGTTTAAAAGTAAGTTATCTAAAGGCAGTAGTTTGCACAAGGTGAAATTCAGAATAATCCTTACAAAGAACAGCTGCCAGAACTCATACACAGAATTGTCAAACTGCCTGGCATAACAATATAAGGACCATGCTCCAACATCACCTTTGTGAGAACATCAAAGGACAATTCACTGCTCAGAGGACTCCACAGCAAGTGCTGCAGCTAAACTTACTATCCTGTGGCATTATTTTCACCACTGTGAGCATCAAAGAGGATTAATCTTGCCAAAGCACAGGAATGAAAAATCACATTTAGGTTTGGAGGAATATCTTACCATTATTCTATTCCCAAATACTCCTCAAACTGTGAATTGCCTGGCCCTAAATTTACTGAAATCCTGATCATATCTGATTTAAATTGACATGCAATTTGAGTTAAATTTACCTCATGCACTTTCAAGGGAGATTTTTTGTTTCTGTTTATTTAAACTGCTGTTGAAATTGGTTAATTAAAAGGATTTAAAAAATCTTAATACTCTAAACAGAGCAAACTGGTTCTGAATTATTAAGCAACATTTTAGATGCATTTAAATAACCTTAAGTGACTTAACTGCCACCTGATCCTAAGCTGTGGCTCAGCAAAATAAAATGTGAAATACTGTACAAGTCTTGGCTTACCAAGGCTTCCAGATACAGTAAATAAAGAGCTTAAGTCTCTAATACCATGTCTGCAGAAGGCATACTCTCAAATACATAACTAATGCTCCACCTCAAGGAGAAATCAGCAGCAGAAATTATGGCTTGAAATTTTGTTTTTTTGTGAGAAATTAATAAATTCAGTCTTTCAAGTATAGCATTTAGAAGGAGGAATCATGCCTGGCTCTCCCTTTCTGAGAGACACCATAGAACACTGACAAACATATTAACCTGATCCACTTCAGCTTCTTGCCCAGTGGGTTAAAATGCCCACCCTGTAAGCTGTTAACAGTTTCAGGAAGGCTTGTGCACATCACTAGCACTGAAATAAAGGATGAACTGAGTATCTGGAGGTCTCCAAGGCACTGGGAGGAGGAGGATCCTGCAGCTGGCAGGTCAAGAGGACTACTAAAGTCAGAGTTTGGGTTTAAACTGTACATAACATTTTTGAAAAAATATGTTTGAAAGTGTCAGAATTACTTTGCTGGAGTTTTGCTGCAATAAGTCAGAGTTTGGGAAGGCTGTTAAGAGAAAGAAACCTAAATACTGAACCAAAGTCAGAGTGTGGGAAAGCTTTTAAGAGAAAGGGACCTAAATACTGAACTAAAAGTTTGAGCACACCAATATACATAGAGCAAGCTCTTTTTGTTGTAGTTAAATGTGATTTCTGGAAGACAGGGAACTGTAACTCTGAAATCAGCACACACATTTAACAGCACACACACTTGTTCCCACGTAGCCTTTGCAGGTGTATTTAAGAATACAAGAAATACACTCTTTGCATTGAAATTTCTTGGCCAAGAAACACAATACAGCTTTTCACTCCCAAAGATGTGCTTGCCAACGTTTCCAGAGTCTGAGTAAGGAGCTCCCAGCTGCCCCAAGCTCACATTTGTGACACACACTGGTGGTACAAGATGTGGTGCTGAGGCACTGAGAGAGGAGCTGGTTAATATCTAATTTCAGCAAGGGTAGAAAGAACAACAGTCAGTGACAAAGACCCAATAACAAGTCACTGCATGTGCTTCACTGCTTTGGAATGTCACTGCTGCTTTAAAATCTACAAGTAGAGTCTGGAAAAGGTTAATCTGGGTATTTACTCATGTGCAGAAGTTTGTATTTACAGTAGGGTTATGATACCAACTTTAAGTTAGCTAAGGATATCTGTGTAAGCAACTGGAACACAGGACTAAGAACTAATGAATTTTTATTTATGAAAGATGTAAAAGTACTTCAACAACACTGTATCAGAACTGACAGCTTTGAACAGCAGGTAAAAAAGCTCTGGCAAGTTTATCACAAGAAAATGTTGATCTGGTTGAAGATAATCCCCTTGTTTTGATAAAACAGAAACACTTTTGGGGGTGTGTATGTTATTGTACAGCAGATTAGGATTGAAAAACACCCAGAAACTAACTTTAGAAAACATGTGTTCATCTTATTGCAGCAAAACTCCAGCAATTCTGATACTGTCAAACATATTTTTTCAAAAATGTTATACATAATTTAAATACAGATATTTTAAATGGTCCTATTTTCTGCAGTACAAGCATTTCAAGTGCTCTGTCCTTGTAACACAGATTTCCATTCATGTTGGTGATATACCATCCAGCAGAAGGGTCTTGATAACTTAGAGTGTATTTTTAAGTGTCTACAGACCACAAACTCCAAGGCAAGGAATAAACACTTTGACTATATTTCCAAGCCATTCAACAATGCCCCATTTTCATTTTTTTAGATCTGTTTATGGAGTTGCACGCTTCCAACTCTCCAAACCTGGGGAACATGACAGATGTCATTTACAGTTCTCAGTGGTTAGCAAAGCCCTGGGGAATATTTTTTGTCTGTTGTGGCTCTGGTGGTCACAATGGCAACGGGATTCATACATGGCTGAGTCAATCAGCATGAATCATTTATGTGACTCCTCATACACGGCATTATTAGGTTGGAATCACAGAAAAAAGATGACAGGGTCTTTGCTTCCCACACAACAGACCAACATCTCTAGACCCTGCCACTAAATTCTCCTTTCTTTGCCTCAGCCTTTTCTCCCTGCCAGTTTCACAGATATACTGACAATACCAGCTTGTTCTAATTTAGTGGTATTTTTTTCCTTTTCTACTTTTTTTTTAGTACTTGCTCTTACATGATTCACCTGATAAATTTTTGAGGTTTTTTACAGATGACTAACATTCATAATGATGTGAATAGGTACAGAAATAGCCAGAGTAAAGTGAAAAACAAATGTAAAAAGAGTAATATACCTGTAGGGTATTTATATTAAATATGTATTACATCAGAAATAAGTTACAGGTGGGAAGGCATGACTTGCAAAATGTTTAAAATGTACAACCCCATTGTTTAGATTGCAAAACACTTTTTCTTTTGTCAAGTACACTGATCTATCAGTAATCCTGGAAACACAGGTGACTTTTAGTCTTTGCTTCCACTGGAAAAGATACTGCATGCTTAAGGAGTAAAGTTAATTAGTGATTAATGAGATTCTTTAAATGCTGCTTTTCAGTCTCATTGCTCAGGACTCCCAATACAGGGCAAGGAGGAAGAAGAGCTACAAGCACTGCAATCCTGTCCACAGGATTGTTGTGCCAAAAATGGGTCAGAAACCACATCCACCCACAAAGTTGTATGCTTACTAAGGATGAGCTTCTTCTCCTTTGGAGTACTTACAATAAGGTGATAAAGTAAGAGGTATCTGCTACAAACTACTGTAAACATGTCAATCAGAGCCTCATTCCTAGTGAACTTCCCCCAGGGGCAGTGATGGGAAACAAAATGGAAAAGCAATTCAAATTACTGAACTCCTTTGGTGAGAAATGGTCTAACCAGTCCCCTGGAGATGCCTCCAGCAAACAAGACCCCAGCTGGTCTAGAGCTGCCCCACTGCTCTGCAGTGCATGGGCAGTATGGCCAAAGAGCTGCTGAACTCCACCCACCACTGCCTGGCTCTGTCCTGACATCTCTGCAATGCCCACCCCTTCACCTTCTATCCACAGACCTTGCACAGTTGGACCCACTGACTTTCATCTTTGCTGAAGCAATGACTAAATAATAAATAAAAGCTAATTTGTGAAGAAAACACAAAGGTGGATTTTCAAAGAAATTTAGGAGCAAGCACAAAAATGATCTGTTGATTTATCAACAGAATTGGCTATTGTAAGCAGTGAGAAGAATTGATTCTGAAAATCAACCACAGCAGGTTCATCATACAATTTCAAGGTAGGAGATGTAATTATCTACTGGTATTATGTAACAGGTCAATCAAATATTTATTAGGATATACTTAATAGTGCATAAGTGGGTACTATCTGATGCTGAGCCTTATCCATAACATCAAGTTGCATCCAAAAGGCAAAACCAGAAAGATCAGAAGTACCAGCCCATAACAGACCTAAACAGTGAACTACAGCAGTGCTGATGGAACTTCCCTCAAAACAGGACATGAGCAAAGCTGGCTCAGTATACTCAAGTTTTCACTGAATATGGTCCACAACTTTTTCTGTAATGTAGGATTTTTTACAATGTCACTGGAGACAGGTTTCACAGCTCTGTCTGTAATATCTGACAGCACTGGTCAGCCAGCAGCTGGCTTAGAGCTTGGCAGCACTGGAACATACCCAGGCACACACCTTTTACCTTCTATGCTACAACACCCCAGCCCATCCAACCCACAGGAGCGAGAAGCAGAGGTATTTACTCCTGAAAGGTACATTTACTCACATCTCTCCTCGGAAAGGTGCCCAGCAGCTTGTACTCCTCCCAAGGATATCCCTTGGAAGCTACAAAATCAAAGACAACCTGCAGCTTGCTGCTGGCCAGGAAACGCCGCTCAAAGAATTCTCCGCTGGGCGTCCGGATGCGGAGTTTGCTGACAGACTCAGTGCTCTCCTCCTTGGGCTCGGGGGGCAAGGACTGCTCCAGAGACAGCCTGATGGCCTGGGGAAGGAAAAACAACCATTTTTTCCAATGCCAGCAAGAGAAGAAAGGGAGAAAGCTTTTCTATTTATTTCTTCTAGAACTTCAAGATGTGTCGCGGTGCTCCAGAGCCTTTATATCTCAATGACAAAATAATTTTTATTCACTCCTTAATAACAGCCCACCAGACAACTAATTAAAATAAATCCTTCTTTATAACACATATTATTAGGTCTACAGTTAATGCACGATGGGATACGTAATTTAATCATTTGGCAGAAAGCCTTGGAAAAAAATTGAATGAGAGAATAATTGTCAAGTGGCCAATTGCTTCCTTAAAGAGTAGAAATTAAAAGGCAGTAAAAGTATTTCTTTAAAAGCACTTGTCAAATTGTCTTCCTCTTGCAATGGTAATTGACCATTTGCAGTAGACTGGACCCTTAATGGCAGTTCTGAGTGAAAAGAAATATATGCAAGAAATTTACTATAAATAAACTGAAACACTGTTGAAAGATGCAATTAAAAATGCCATGAATGTGCAGTAGATACACAGATTGCATATAGAAGTAGGAATCATTAAAGAAGAAAACTGGGAGAAGAGAAATGGGAGCTTGAAGATTTAAAGTTGGTGGTAGTCGTAGTATTTGTAAGAAGATGGTTCTAAGTACAGGTGAATACATTTTCTGCATCAACCTGCATGAAATCAGCCCTCAAATTGCAATGGCACTACATGACAGTCATGTAGTGATTGTCTTCTTGCTAACATTGCTGATGTCAAGACTTTAAGGGCAGGACCCAGGTCTGTGTTCTCTGTCCTCTGTCTCTGTGAGCTGCTACAGCACCAATTCTTTCATTAGAAATTTTTAAAATATAAAATTAATAGCTAACATTAGACTGCTGAATGAGGTGGGCTTGATTTTCAAGGGCATTCTTGGTATTCATGGGCAGCATCAGCATCTGTCAAAAATTTGATCATACTCAGAAGCAGCTCTGTTACAATATCATCTCACTTAAGGTAGCACTGAAGAGAAGGTAAATGAATGGAAGAAGCAGCACAAACAAACTGCCTGCCCCAAAATGTGCCTAAAAAATTGAAGAGGCAGTCAGGCAGGGATTTACCCATTTTCAAGGAACTTTCAGTACACACAGTTGCTATTTGTGCCTTTGAAAACCTCCCCAAGGTCATTTAGTAAAAGAAACTGATAGAGGGTGATTACATTGCAGAGAAAGGACTGGGCAAAAGCAAGATTACAAAGGCTTTTAAATAGTCTACTTCTTACACACACACCTCTGAGCAAATTATATCTCAGTATAAATATTTATACATAGAACTTCAGTTCATTTTTGCTCATCTACTATGAGATTATATTTTAAATAGATTCTATTTTAATTTTCTCCCTCTCCATTCTCAACCACCTGCTTACTATCTCGCTGTTTTGACATTTCCCCACACAGTATAACAACAGATGCTACATTATTTACTGAACCCAATCAATTATATTATAGAAAAATAAACAACAGTAGCTCATTAGAGCTCCTTCCTTTGTGCAAAGAGTGTGTTGCTCCCCAAAGTAACCACTCAACATAAAATGGCAATTTACAATGGATATTCTGTACCAGCAAACCAAGTCACAAAACAATGACATGATGGATCACATTAAAAACTCTTGGACCTGAACAAGCAATTTCAGTTTGTTGATAAAAAGGTGTTCAGTATGTGAAGAGCTCAATAGTCAGATTTTAAAATACAAACTGAACACAAAGCCACTTCTGTAAGTAAACACTGTTGCAAAACAATTCAGCCCAAGTAATCTGTATACTTGAAAATGGGGAGTGTTAGTAAACATTATTGTTAAAATCCCTTTTGTTCTACTAAGCAAACAGATCCCATTATTTTCATTACTGCACTGTGCATGAAAACAGGGAAGCCCAGGTATATTTTGGTAACACGGGCCAGTGTTGCAGCCTTTGCATAAGAAAACCATTTCCAAAAGGCCAAGGTATCAGAAAAGGCTCAGGAGCAGATATAATAAAGCAGAAATAATTATTGTTCCTATGCATGCAAAATAACTTAGAAAAGAAAAACATATTTCTGGCTTGAGCCTGAGTGTGAGCTGATGGTGAGCCTGTTCCTGCTACAGTGGATTCATGTTCAGCTGATGTTAATCTCACAGAATTGCCCTCTCACAGCCAGTCCCAGGAGCCTCTGAGAGGCACTGGGACCCTCAGCATTTATTAAACTGAGAGAATCTACAAAATAATAGTTTGAGGAAGACAGTATTCTTCACAGCACAGGCTTTCTGTTTTCTTACAGAGCCCTAGAGACATAAAGTACTTGTTTAAACCAAATTTTCATTCTAAGGAAGATTCAGTAAAAGACTGTTCAGAAAATTTTTAAGTCCCACAAATTTCAAGATTCTAGATTTTATTTTCTTAGTTCTTTTTTAGCAAGTGGATTGTCTCCCAAATTAAATTTGGTAACTTGTTTGATCAGAATTGCAGGTAGGCTTTGTGCTACTTCCTGGAAAAAATGAAAGGGCTCCATGTTTTTAAAAGGAGTGGCTGCAGAAAACAGATTAGAGCCTCCCAAAGATTCTAGCATATATGGAGCTCATTTCACAGATCTTCTGTGAGCAGGTCCATCTAATATCTGACTGTATTTGAGACCCAGATGATAAAACAGAAGAGCCATTAAACAGTGGATGAAAACTATTTAGCTGCACTATTTTTGTTTCACAGACATATAGTAAGAAATCAATAACAGTAAAGAAAATTGGTCTTGTAAAAAGTATCCTTTGAACTGAAGTTGCAGTGTGTGTTGAATGACAGTTTCAGTGCTCATAAGCTTCATGAATTCATAAAGTTATCAGAAAAGGTAAAACATCCCACCTCACGTTCCTCCTCCTGCTCTTTCCGGATCTGTTCCAAGCGAAATTGCTCTGCCATTTCTCTCTCTTGTGCTTCCCTCTAACAAACACAAAGGGCAATCCCACATAAATATGTGATAAATACAAATGCAAAGAAATTTCTCAATGTTTCCACAGAAATTAATATAAGAGATAGGATATTGATTAAGCAATATATTCCTGCCATTCCTTTCCCAAATGGAGCCAGGATAGGTTTAGCGAAAAGACGCAGTCAAGTCTAGTCCCAGTGGCTTTGTCTGGTGCCACTTTACAACAGGGAGGACTTTAGGGTGTCATGCTCAGAGCACAGCTGGAGGCAGGCAGTCCCCTGCAGGACAGAGCATCCCCAAACTCCAGAGGGTTCCCACCCCATGGGTGTCTGTCCCTGCACACACCTTGGCTCTGTCAGCCTCCAGCGAGATGCGGTACGCTTCGTCCTGCTCTCTCTTCACGTTTTCTCGCGCTTCACGTTCATCCTAAAAGTGAAAAAAAAGAAAAAAATAAATCAAATAGTGGACCAGTATGATAAATATCTTTATGTTCCTCAGCACTCTAATCCCAGTGACTACAGCATCACCCAACTACCGCTAGGAGAAACACATTCAGAGATGGATCAAGGGTGACTGTGGCTTTAGAAATTCTGAGTACCTGAAGCTTTGATTCAGTTGCCAGGTAAGGGAATGGTAATTAGCCCTGGCCTCAGGGCTGGATGAGGCACCCAGGCTCTGCACTGAGGGCCATGGCAGGCACAGAGCCCTGGGAGGAGCAGCCTCCAATGGTGGGGTCACTGCAGGGGGGTATGGGCTGGAGCTGGGGGGATTTCCCTCCTGCACCCAACAGTTTGGATGGTTGTGTAACAGGAAACTGTGGTTTGATGCTGAGAGTGGATTTTCATTGGCTCTCTACTCATACTGACAGTGGGTAATGGCTGCTCCTGACAGAGAATGCCCAATCCCAGGTTCTTCTGGGTCAGAAACCCCTCAGCAGGGTCCATCCAGGGTCATGACTATCAAACATCATCCAGAAGCCTCAAATCACAGTGCTGAATATTATACAAAGATGGGAAAGTAGCAGGTCCTGCTCTGAAGTACCTCAAATGGACAGAAGAAGGCAAGCAAGGAACAGGAGGTTACCATGGAAGCAAAAAGTATCTTATCAACAATCACAGCACAAAAAAAATAAAGGTTTACTAAAACCACACAAATGACAAAGCAAGGCATCATCCACACAGTGGAGGATCAAAAAGTGGATATCCCCAAAAGCTGGAATAACTGCACTGGGGTGATGTCAAATAAAGCAAAGTGTACAATCAATAGCTTCATACTCTGCCTCTGAAGCAGAGACAGTGGCTGCTCCCCTGTGCTTACTTGTCTTACATCTCATAATTCCCCCCAGAGCCCTGCAGAGGCTGCACTGGTCCCTACAAAAATCAATGGGATTTAGCTGTGAGGCTGCTGGTGGGCTCAGCAGGGTCTCCCCTGCAGTTCCCAGTAACACAGCACCTGCACTGGGGCAATCTGTCCTGTGTTTCACAGAAATTAAAGTCTACTACCTACTGCTTCTTGAAGGATTATGTAATCTTCCCATTCAGCTGCAACATTTATTCCACATAAAAGAATCATTTTGTTAAGTGATCAATTTTCCCCTCAAAACATCACTATTTGGCAAAAACTCAATTCTGAATGGTAGGAGCTCATGATAACTGTAATTATCACAACATACAAACATGCCAAGATGTTCCTCAAAAAAAACCTCCAACATCTCAGTGGTTAAATCTCTAAAGTAGAATGCAAACACAAGAGGAAAGGACAAACTGCAGGGAAAATGATACAATTTCCACTTGGAAAGTAGCAAAATCTTTCCAGACTAAATTCTTCTTCCTTACAGAAATAGGACCCAAAGTTATTGTACAATCAGTGTGTCCTGAATTTCATTCCAAGAGTTAGAAACCATCACTTTAGTCAGCAGAACAAAAACATGAGTAGAAGTAATTCTAAAGTAAAATGCAAAAAAAGGACAATAACCACCAAATAACCCTTCTTCCTGGCTACTCTGGACAATGGTAAGTTTTAGGTACTCTGCTCATGGAACTTGAACCTGATAACAAAAGCTACCCTACATGAATATTCCATGTTTGAGATAAGGGGGAGTTGAAATAATTAAACAGCTCCCATTTTTATGTTTTCCAAATATGAGGAAGGCTTGTTGAATACACAGAGGTTTTCCCAATTCTTCTCACAGATGGAACACAACAGTAAAAAAAAAAAAAAAAAATTGGGCTATTTATACTGGGACTTTTCATACGCATATTGAAAATTTATCTTAGAATAGTAAGAACCAAAATAACCTTTACAAATCAGCTCAACAGAGGAAGATAACTTCAGGTTACCTGCCAGAGGACAAGCCCTTAAAAATATTTAGAATTATTTCAGAGAGAACTTATTCAAGTTTCATGTTTTTTGACTCCAGGTAGCACACCTAAGTCCACACATTGAATTTCAAAGGCCACACAAGTCCAGTAATGCCCAAAAGAACTTTGAAAGATTAGATACAACTATTGCAACTACAGGCTCTTCTCCATCAAGGATTGCTAGCAACTAAGATAGAGTTACTGCAGTTTATAAAAAAAAAATTAAAGAAAAAAATACTAATGTTATAGATTCTACAACTAGAGTTGAAACATGAATTCCAGACATGAAAAAAAAGTTAAAATGCTTTCTTCCCTATTCATTGCAGTTATCATCATCCTAGAAGTGGATTATGAAAAAGATGTCAGGAATGTGAAGAATTACCACGCATGACTGCCTGGTCCTCAAAGCAATATGTGAGCCACATCTAAAAGTAAATGACTGGGCCACTGAGCCCTACACCTCATTGAAATAATACTGTTCTTACTGAAACAGATCTTAAAAACAAACCTGGAATCCAGAGCTCCTTGGGTAAGCAGCAGATGTAATCCCATGCAATGCCTCTTTGTACCTGCTTCTGTGCTAACACTTCTGTTTGCTAATACTGCTCACATCAACAGGAACCAACTCCTCCAGAGATTTTACGGCTAAATTGTGGTATTGTTTGGTGCAGAGTTACACCTTGGACAAATTTTAAACATTACACGAAGCAGTAATGCAGTTTCTTATCTTAGTCATCTCTTCCTCTAGAGAAGGATGAGGATGCTTCAAGTCCACCAGAAAGCAACAAAAGAAACTCACAGTAGAGACAGGAAAAGCAGAAGAAAATATTTTGCAGAGAATCTTCCACTGCACTAACAAAGAATATATCAAGAGTAATCATACCGCTAATAATTAATATAAAAAAATTCAGAAGTGTTATCCATTAACAAAATTTGAGGCAGCTGACAAGTTTCCTATTAGACTCTACATAAATTGCGGTCATTACTGATGGAACATCACTAAATGCATCTCCACAGTGCTTGTGCAATGAAGGCAGAACTGGCACTTTCCTTATTCAAAAAATCAAAGTACAAACAGACATGGCTTATCCTGGGTCACTTAAAAAGCCTTCATCAGAAGCAGGGGAATTCCTCAGCAGTGCCTGAAGGCTGGTGTGAATGCAAACCATCCACATCCCAAGGGTTTGGGGCCTGAGACAAGGAGACAACACTCCCTGGCACCTAAAAAGGGGAGAAGTCACAGATTTCTGCTTTCCTGTTTTGACAATGAGACAATGGGAGGTTGGAAATACATTCAATGGGAGGTTGGAATCTGAAAAAAATTGCTTTTATTCACAGAATATATTCTTCAGCTTTACTTTGCTATTCTGCTTCTTAGAGATGCAGTCAACCCAAAAATATCAAACACTTATGAGATAGCTACAATTGACCAGAGAAAACTTTCTCCTGAGGAATATCCAGAGCATCAAGTCTAAGAAAAACTGACAGATAAAATTAAGAGGAAATTTAGGATAACTCTTTCATATAATTATTTCCTAAACCATTTGTTGGAGTCAATCCTGAAATACCTAGCGACAGGCATTTTAAGATGCAGAATGATGGACAAAGAGGGGTTCTTGACTGAATTGACAGCAGATTCTCCAAGTTAAAAATGTTCCACTTTTTGAATGGTATATTTTGCAGGAAAATTCAGCATTGGCCCTTCTGGGCTTTTTTCCCCTATTTATTATTGTAATTTCTGAAGGCAGGATTTAATGATTTAACCCCAGGAATCAGCTTTGCACCTGATTTATCTCATGGAGCTGTGTTTTATTATTCCCAACTGCCCTTTGGGACCAGTTTTACTGAGGTAAAACTGGATGAGACAGAACTTGAGAAGATACCCAGGAGCAGAAGACATTTCTCAGAGCACCAGTGAGTAAGGGACTATTACAAGCAAGAAAGAAAGAAAGAAAGAAGTATATTTACAAATGCTGAATGCCCATCTGAAAGACAGTTCATTTCACTGAACCACTCCTGAAATTAAAATCTGCAAATGCTTAAGGCTATTCATGGGAGCGTTAAAGAGAAACACCCCTTTGTCCAAACAAACCAGGGCAAGAAAGGCATTAATTTGACTCACTAAGATGACAGACTTGCACCTTGTATAACTTAAACATACATGATGGGGAATATAAGGCAGGAAAAAGTGTACACAGAGTGTGTTGGGTGTATGGGAACGACAAGGACAAAGCAAATGGAGATTTTAGTGGTGGCAGAACCACAGGAGGAGGCAGGATGGGGCAGGGTGAGGGGCAGAGCAGCACAGAACCACCACAGGATCCTGCCTGTCCACACTGAAGGCTGAAAGCTCAGCTCCGGATTCCAGTTTTGGAATTAATTCAAGTGACAAAAAGAAAACCAAACCCAAAATCTTCAAGGAGTACTGCAGTGCCTTTCTGTGGGAAAAGAGCCAGCCAGTCCTGATACATCTGCCCAGCTGGGCTGAATATTCACGGACTGGAGCCATCAACATGTACAGCCTAAAACCCACTGGGGTTAAAGATCTCATCTCCTCTTCTCTTCCTCTTCTCTTCCTCTTCTCTTCTCTTCTCTTCTCTTCTCTTCTCTTCTCTTCTCTTCTCTTCTCTTCTCTTCTCTTCTCTTCTCTTCTCTTTTCTCTTCCTCTCTTCCATTGCCTTGCACTTTGCCAAGGCTCTAACCATGCTGTAAACTCACACACTGGGGTGTGTGTGGCCATGGGAATGCTCAATGGGCTGCTATCACATTACAAACACAAAATCAGAAAATTTAATCAAACAAATTTTGATTACTGTAGTTTAATTAGTTATAACTAGTAATAATTAGTAAATGTGCTAATTAGATTTCTGAGGGGTTAAATCCCAATCTTTGCTAGACGGCTGTCATCACCATAATGCTTTTGTGCTTTGGAATTTAATGAATTTCGTGTATTCTCATAATCTCTTGTTGTGCAAATACTATACACCATGATACACATGACAGTGTTAGATGGAACACAGATTACCCAAGGTATTCAGATGCCTGATTTCTACTGATTTACATCAGAGCTTCAGTCCCCAGCAAAAACTTCAGAGGTCTCTTGCAGAGCTGATGGAAGCATTTCCCCTACATTTGACAACAGTGAGGCAGAAGAGGAGAAAAAGACATGGTGATAGCTATGAAAATATCACCTGGCCACTAAAGCCCCAAAGTGCTGTGGCAGGGAAAAGAGAAAAAAGGATTTATGCTGCCATTTTGGAGTTTTGGTTTTCCTTCATGTGCTTTTTAAATCCCCATCCAGATATTAGTGAGGAAGGACCTATGTGTTCCTCAAGCTCTAGAAGTATCTAGGAAAGAGATGTCAGCCAAGGACGGAGAGGAAGGATGGTGACTCTGCAGGCCTACAGTTTTCTACAGTTTATCATCTTCAGTCAGAGTCTGTTTACAGCAGTTTTTCCAGTTTAAAAATTCTTAAGTGTCTCTCTTTTACACTACAGAGCAGTGTGCTGGCAGACATATTTTCAAGTGAATGAAAGGTTTTAATTGGTATTTATAAAAATAAGAAAGTCTCTGAAGCAACTGTTGGTATTTCCACCTTGATGTCTAATCCAAGAGCAGGAGTGCCGGTGTTGCATAATGACAAAAATAAACACGACCAGAGACCTACTGTTACTTAAATGTGGACAAGTTGGACCAGCTGTGTAACAGTCATTTCTTTTACAGTAATAAATGTTGACAGCAAAAATAAAAAATGCATTACTGAGGCATCATCAAATGAGCCCTGTCATTACATGGAAACTCCGCCCTGTATAAGCTTGTCAAAAAGTGTTACTGTAATCCTTTGAGAAGCCTCCTCCTCAGGCAACGAAGAAAAAATGTTGAGGATCAGCCCAGAACAGGTGTGTTGTGCTGTAATGCCAGGATTTAATCACAGATCTCTTCACATTAATCTCACAAAGGAACTAACTCAGATCTATTCAGGCCCATCACGCCACACTGAGATGATTATTTAACTATCCAACTAAAGCAAGCAAGCTCACAGGGTGTTCAAAAATGGACATTCCAGGGCGTAGAATATTTTACAACTATTGTTTTCCTAAGTCCAGCACCAGGCATTGACACTTAAGAGGAACTGATACCCAAGAGGAACTGATACTACACACTCTTTTCAAAGTCAGTGCCCGAAAAATCTCAGTGCACACCTTGATTAACAGTGGCAGAGCCTGGTTATCCCTGCTCTGAGACACCCTCTCTTACCTACAGGAGAAACTCCTTAATGACATTTACTCCCTCTGCAAAACCCCACTGCCCGAGCAGTAGTTGGGGTGTCAACTCCTTAAGAAGTGTCCAGGGGAGTAAACATGGTTAGAAAAAGAAAATATATCCACCAGATGCAGGGAATCATTAGTGCAGCTGCAGAACAACTCTGCATACACAGCTTGAGGTTGGACTTCAGTCCCCAGACCTGACTGCACTGGGAAAGGTGGGGCTGTATCCTGGCTAAGAGGCTTCACTGCTGATGGTCACAACTGAATTATCCATTGGCCTAATCAGAAGAGCCCTGTGAGCCCATCAGTGTTCTGCTAATCCAATTTTGCAGTTTGTGGCTTGTTCCAACAGCTATTTTAGGAGCAAAATTATAAAAACAGACGCCTAGACTGTGTATGTACAATGGCACATCAACTGCATGGTCCAAAAGAGGCAGAGGTTTCCAAAATGTCATCTGGCCAACACAGCAACAGCTCATGACTGACCCAGAACCCTGGAGAGGCAGGGAAAGGAGTGGGAGAGCAGGCTGATCTCCCTTGAAGGAAACCTGGGAGAGAAAACAGCTGCAGAAGTTACACACCAGGACAGGCATGTTGGGTTACCAGGAGTACACATGCGCATCCCAATGTTTTTAAAGTATTTCTTTGGAGATTATGTAAGAGCACAACACAAAATCTAAAAATTAAATCCAACTGCCAGTTAAGTGATGGTATTTTAGCACTTCACACTTATGAGGCTAAATTGGTAAATTTTACCCATATATGGATACAAAAGCACAGGATTTAGCTTAGCACATTATTATTGCCAGCAGCTGATGAGGTGGCTCACTCAGGTGAGGTAAGTTGGTAAAGCTGTTCTGAGCATCCCACCTACACCCCCAGCAGATGCTCAGTGACAGGGAGCTCCTGTAGCTACAGCCAACATCAGCTGAACACCTGGACCAGCTGGAGTGGGACCAGTCCTCCTGTACCCAAATAACCATCAGAGGGCACTGCAAAACACCCTGTGCCAAACAGGATTGTGCAATGGCTGTGCTGGAAGCTTTCATATGCATGAGAATTTCAGCTGCATAAACTCACTCATTACTGACTTCATGCTGTCCTTTACAAATGTTTTCCAGTTCTGGTTCTCTCTCACACACACTTCTGTTTACAGCAATGCTACACTGATGACTCCTCTTTTTAAAGCACAAAAGAATTTTCTGCTTATCTTCTTGTGGTTTTATGATGACTTATTGTTGCTATTAAGAAAACAGTAACAGAAACCGGACTCTGTATCCTGTTTGCTATTGTAATATTTGGGAAAAAATTGCACCAACTGCAGTATGATCTTAATAAAGAAAAGGTGTTGATGTTTGAACACTTGAAGTTGTCAAGAACAAGGCTTACAAGAAAGCTACATGTTATGTAGCTAACCACAAAAAGGCAATATTTTGTTTTCAGGCTGAAGCCCTCTGTTGAGTACAGACTGCTTGTCAAATACTCCCTCTCTGGAATAGTAATTTCATAAAGCAAGGTTATTTTTTGTTTTGAAAACTTCCTGCTTCAAAGGCAAAGTGTCTGAGATCACCTTTTCAGTGTGCTTGTAACGAGTGGAGCCAAGGTGTAAGTAAATATCCTATTTGTGTATAGAACCCATAGTGTCTGGAAAGCTGCCCCCAAAGTTTATGAAATTTTCCATCACTTTTCTGAATGTCAAAGTGTGTTAGAAAAAGCTCCTGTTGGGAAGAAATGTCACCAGTGCCTTCAGTGACAGAAAAACAAAAGACTATAGGAGACTTGGACAAAGGTAGATATTGGAGAAATGTATAAAAATCAATTTTCCATTCTACCTAGATAGGTAGGGCACTTGGGGAAAGAAGCCAGGAGGCAACAATCCCATGTGGGGACTGAACTGTCACTGTCACTACTCTTGGCCACCCAGGGAAGGACAAAGAGCAGCCCAGGACAGGAGCCAGTTCCTGGTTCTGGGTCTGGGCTGGTGTCCTGTTCCTCACTCCGTTCCAATCCTATCACTCTACTTTCTTCTCCTATCCCGTGTTTGCTCTTATATCTCTGACTTTATATGCTTTTGTTTCCCTCAGTTTTCTTCCTTTTTATCAGCTTGTATAGTTTTTAATTCTGAACCTCTCTTAGAGCTTATCTGTGATGTAAATTTCACCCTCTTACTAAAGCATTAAAAAAACCTTCCATACTCAAGACACTCCTGTTAAAATGCAATAAAAATTCTGTTATATTGTGCCTTGGACTTTTGTTGTAATCCTCATATTTAAATTTGTGTTCAGTATTAACAAAATTAAAGTCAATTTCTTTACCAATGAATTACAGGTAACATAAATAAAGAAGAAAAAGTGAATGACAGATATTGTGCAGATAATGTGCCTTCATATTACAGTCAGTAAATCTTGTACTAATGAGATACAAGATTTAAATGTGAAGAATGTGTTTCATGAATTATTGTCAATCAATGTCTATACAACAGGATAAGAATAATCTTGAATGGCAACACACCTATTATTACAAATTCCTAAGAACTTCATTACCTAAAAATGTCACTCTTAATTTACAGAGTAACAGATAAAGATCTTTCAGCTGTATAACTCACTTTGTCTGCTTCTGTGTAATTGAAACACTGGTTTTGAGAAGTCTTGTAATCATTTATACATTCTGCATCACTCTGAGTGGTGGTTCAGTACTGGTGTACTGGTTAAAGTTGGTTTCAGCTCCCTTTTAAACAGTCTCATTTAAGATATATTAATATATTTTTGTTTTCTACCTATGACTTGGAGCTTGTGGCAAAAATTCTGATAATTTTCCTTGTATGAGCATATTAAGCTCCATAATATCACTATAATGTAACCAGTCACTGATGACTGTGTTCTTGAAAATGACAAGACCAAAAAGGAGGAGTTGTTCTGAGAGACCCAAATACACAAAGGAGACTTTACCTTTTTAATTTCTGACAATGGAAGAGACATTAAAACACATCATACCCAACTCCACTGGCTGAAGAAACATCTGGTTAATTTACATCCCCAGTGATTAGTGGAAGGCAGGAGGTATCTGCAGCAACTTTCAGTCTCACCTCATCCTTTATGTCTTCCTGCTGCTGGGCACTGAAGATCTCCATTGCAGCCATCAGCCTCATCATTAGCTCATCCACTGTTGTGTTACCTAGCAACAAAGGAAGATAGCTGAACTTCATTTCATTAAAGTTATTAAACAAAAAAGAAGTCATTTTAGAATTAATCCATAAGAAATAGCCAGACTAGGGAAAAAAAAAAAAAAAGACAAGAGTAGAAAATGCAAATATCTTAGTAGAATGCTTTCAGTTCACCTTTTTACTGAAAACTCAAAATTATTTTTACAAAGGTTGATCACAGGTTAGAATTTCAGATGGGGCAAATCTGAACAATTGCTTTTGTGCTTGCATAAATTAACTCTATTTTGTCTTTTAGTCACTGATGTTAAATGAAAGCAGTAGATCTGGAATTCCCTTATGTGAAATTGATTTTACAGTTTTAGAATTCCCAGGGAGACCAAAGCAACTGCTTAGGCAGGCAACACAAGGTAGGATGTTGGCAGCAGCATCCAAGTGGATTGGTTTAAAACAATGGAAAATCCACAAAACAATGATTCAATAGATGTGACAAAATAGATCCATGTTTTATTTGGATATAACTAGTAATAAAATTTCAAATACTATATTTTCTTCAGTCTATTTACTTGCAAAGCTACTAAAGTGGAAAATTCTGTCATCCATGTGTGTATCATGAAATAGAACACATACATAGGAAGACAGATACCTTCCCATGTTTTTCTTCCAGCATGCCTCTAGTCTTCATTAAGACTGAAAGATTACTTTAATTTCCTACCAAGATGCATTCTTTGGTTTCTCTTTCTAAACTGAAGCCTAGACTACCCATTAAAGCCACTTGTCATAGTAGTTAGAAGATTTTAAACCATGAGAAATGGTCACAAACTATGAAGTCTTAACATCTGCCAGCCCAAGCAGCTGTTGGACCCCAGCAGAACAAGCACCACTAAAGAAAACAAGACTGTCCCCATAGTTTCCAACCCCAGGAAAAAAGTAAAAATCAAAAGCAAACTAAGACAGTCTGCATTTCAATAAACACCAATGGGGTCTTAGGTTTCTATATAGTTGTATCTCTTCTGTCAACATGCCTTCTCACCCAGCCCTGAAAGGCCCTCATTGTTCCCATTTCTAACATTTGCTACCTTAGCAGAAAATGTTATCCCACATGCTACAACATGCAGGACTTCAGAGGCTACCATTCATTGAGGCAGTATTGTTAAAAGATACCAGTGTCCCCATTCCTGGGAAAATAAAAAGCAGAGATTGTGTGATTTTTGTTAAAGGGTGAATTTAAGTAAGGCTACAATAGGTGATTGTTTTAGTTTAGTGCAAAAGATTGCAGAAAACCTCACAAATCATTAAAATTTAACTCATGCCATTAAATAATCTGGATTAAGCTGCATTGTATGATGACTTTGAATTGCTGCTAAAGGAGTTAAGTAATTTAAGTCAGTAGCCCCAGTGACTTCAGTGGGATGGCAAAGGTTCTGAGCTGTACTGCAGAGTCAGAAAACCAAGCTATTTATAAGACTATTTCCATGAAATAACCTATGAAACCTATGAGATATGTTTTATAAATTACAGACATTCATACCATGAATTAGTGTTGTGCTGTACCTTGCACTGAGGAGACAAAATCCATGCAAAAAAAACCATTTTGTCCACTGCAGATTCCTCAAGAAAATTATTAATCCCAGATGCAAAAAGAAACACTAATGCTTGTCTGCAAAAAGCAGCATTTCCTGAGGCTGAATTTCCTCAGGAAAATGAGATTACAATAAAGACTGCCAGATATAAGCAATAAAAAAATGAGGACACAGTGTCATGAAGGCAAACTTGTGGAGAAAGCAGAAGAAATGAGAGGCAGCCATTCTTTGATGTGCTCTAATTTGAAGAGTTACTGAGAACAGCAGTCAGAGGACAACACTCCACATCTAAGTCACCTTGCTGGCAATGAAATCAGAGGAATGGTTACACCAGAAAGAGCTGTTCATGTAAACCAGAAAACTTCATTTATGTGAGATTGTATTAGGAATTTCAATCCTGACCTGATTTGGGGATCTTAATGCTGCAGGCAGGTTTGAAGAAACAACTCATGTCCAAATATTAGCAACAGGAGCCCAGGTATTAACAAGGAACGACACACAAGGAACCAAATGCATTCTGGCACTATGCAAAAAGTGCAGCAAAGATCCTCTGGAAACCAGGAATGTATCTGAATATAAATTTAGAAAACTAAGTGTAGCTCTTTCTTCAGGAAATTGGGTTTCCACTTAAAAAAATAAAAGAAAAATGTAAACTATAATTCTGCTCAAGTCATGGCAACTCCAATCTCTAACACCATGCTAATTAATACATTTATGAGTAGTAGATAATTATACTCTGGCAACTTAAAGTGTGTTTTGTGTAACAAATTATTATTCTGGATATCTTAAAAGAGAAACAGTTAGCAAAGACCTCTTATAACAGATTCAATACTCACATAAGGAATACCTGTAATCTAAAGAACTGTACCTTGTATTACATTCAACACTTCATTAGATGATCGTTTTCCCATAATAATAAGGAAAAGTGGAAACTGGTCTGTCTTCTGAGTTCGAATGGTTTGGGCTACAACACTCCCAAAATGTCTAGTGCACATTGTCAGAAACCTGGTGGGGGAAGAAATAAATTGTTAACATTGTAGAGGATCTTTTGAAGTTAAGTTTAAAAAAATAATTATGCAAAATTCAGCAGTTTAACTGCATGTTACCTACTGTTTAACACACTCTGCATTCAGTTCTAGAGCTCTTTAGCTCTTTTTATAACTAAATTATTATAATACTTATAAACATGATACAGTCCAGGTTGTCTAAATTAGAACAATTAACAACTGCTTGCTGATTTATTTAATGGAGATTTCCATTTCCTGTTACACTCTGTGAAGACTGTAATTCAAAACTACTCCCCAAAACAATAATGCTGAATCAATTGTTAAAACTTCTAAAGAGAAACTAAGTAGAGCAACAATCTAATAAACCTGGTGAAGTATAAAAATAGTAAATTTCATACGAAAGCATAATTTAATAATGAAAGATCAAGAAATGGGTTTTATCAGTCACAGAATTAAAACATGGTACTTCAGAATTGTATTTTCCTTTGTACCAGTGCCCTGACAGTGACACACTTAGCAGTGTGGTCTAAAAAACAATAATTCTAAGCTTTTGACCAAAAAAAGCTCTTAGATATTAGCATACAGAAGTCTAACATTAGTATTCTTAACACGATCTTGAATAAATGAAAAAACTGATAAAGCTTTTCTCTTCCATTAAAGGACTGTTTGAAATTAGCATTTCTTTCAAGAGAAAAGGGTAGCTTATGATATGTTTTCAGATCTGATGGTAAAAAGTAAATGTCATAATAATAATGAATTATGAAAGACCAAATGCAAATATAGAATGCTTTAATAAGATCCAATTTAATAAAGTCTGTAAAAATAATGGACTTTTAATAACACGGGTCACAAAAGGCAAAACAGTGGAAATTCTGAGGACTAGCCACTGGTACAGGCTTATTAATTCTTAATTATGTTCATGAAAGGCAACTTAAATCGTGTGTTTTCTTATGCCTTATGATAATATTTTAGGTAACAACTACTCTGAAATGTATGCTCTAACTGAAGAGCAAAGTCCCGTTGTCACATGCATTAGAAGCCAAATCTATTTGAAAAGACAAACTGCATTAAAATGTCAAGTGCTCCAAGTAATTTCTTCTCAAAGAAACTGAAAAGATTCAAAATGCAACTTTTTTAATCAATATATATATTGTATCCAATAAAATGGCTAAAAATTAATAAATCTGACAAGTACAGCATTGAGCTTATTTGAGGCACCTGAAGTACTAAAAAAATCTCAGAGAGAATCTGGATGGAAGGCAATGGGTGGGGGTGGCAAGCAAGTATTTCAAAGCCATAAGTGTTACTCCCTGATTCTCTGGATTTTTCAACTCAGAACAATCAGCCACAAAGAAGACATCAAAAAGCTGAACAAACTCTGCTCTATCAGAAACAGCGACACAGACACGTAACATCTGGTAAGGATAAAACAGCATCTGTAAAGTCTGGACAGATCAACTCTTCTGATAAATAATGGCTTTTGATGTTTTCCTTTCAAGGTGGGAGCAGGTAAGTGAAATGTTGGCCTCACAGAAGTCAGTGGTGATCCTCCACAGCAAAATGAAAATTACTTATGTGAGTTCCAGGTTTCACCCCTGGAAGCAATAAAGACAGAGGACAATTGAAGTGAATTCCTAGACCTGTGTATCAAAACTGTTTAACAGTCTTCAACACAGCACAGAAGAAAAGCACTCAAGTTTCATGGAAAACCGAAATAATTAACTGGAAGTGAAGAAGTGCTGTAGAGAATAATGCTTAGAAGGAATAAAACTAAAGAGACTCCTACAGTCCTAGTTGTACTAGTCAAAGGTGCTGGTTTGTTAATTTTTTTAAGTCTATTTTGTATTTAGTCAACCAATAACTCAGTCCAAAAATATGCTTTTTAGGTATAGGTTTTGCATGCAAAGAATTCTGAATGAAGAATTATTTTTTTCCCATTTTCTGCCTTTACTGATTTTATATTTGTAGACCTTTTTACTTGCAGATTCATAACCACAAAAAAAGGGAAAAAAGCTCCCTCTGTGCTAATATTTTCTGTTAGAAGTCAGCAGAACCAAAACAACTTGGTGCAATATCCATTATCTTACTCCATACATCACTTACAAGGGATTTTCTTACTTTCATCTAAACAGAAGTGTGCCAGATCTCTCAGTGGCATCTCCAGAGCTGCCAAAAAAAAGCCCCTGTGGAGTCCATCAAAGAGACAGATGTCCCTCCAGGGAAAAGGGCTGCATCTTGCACACTGTAGTGTGCTCCTGGAATGTGCAGAGGCAAACTTGGTGCTACATTTTGAATACTTCTTGTATGTTAAAAAAAAAAAAAAAAAAATTGCAAGCTCTCATTGCTTTTCTTATCCTCTCCCCAGCACCTTAGTGTTGTTTAACAATTGTATAGCAAATATCTAGTGCACCTAAGGTCAAATTCTCTTCCATAAAGAGAGAAATCAGCTCTCAAATGTATGGAAAAATGCATTCAAAATAAATACTAAAAAATTCATAGTATTTTAGATCTTCATAGTATTCATAGTATTCTAGATTTTCTTTACCTTCTGTAACAACAAAAATAACAAAGATCTGGTTATTTGTTACAGTCTTACTCATATAAATTCCTGAAGTTACTTATTATTTTTATGCACTGGGGAAAACTTCGGAAAAGTTTCCTCCTAAAATGAGGCCCTTTGGCACATGGTGCCCACTACACTTCTTGGAAAGGACTTTCCAGCAGAACAGAAAAGCTGCACTGGAGATGTTTTTCTGTATGTTCTTACCCTAAAGCCCTCCTCAAAAATCAGCAGCAGCAGAAATCTGACAATCTCTTCTAAAAGACCTATTTCCCTTCAGAACACAAAGTGGATGACTTTGGGCCAAAAAAGTGTGATTTATTTATGACTAGATAATTCCCAAAGCCAACCTTAAACAGCCTTTAACATTTCAGAAATGGGTTTGGAAAAAAAGTAACTTCTTTGCTGAGCATGAGGAAAACAATTATGAATATTAAATATGCAAGGTTTCTGATTATTTTTAATAATAATTCTATAATGTGCAAAGTCAACATAAGACTCATTAAAATGTTAATGTAAAAATAACATTTTTGTATTAGGTATTTACATTTTTAAAAGAGTAAAAGCTGAGGTCCTGAATTGGCATACTAAAATAATCTTGCTCTCCCATAATTCAGAGTTACTGCTTTACCCACATTGGTAGGGTTGTACCTCAAACACAAGGAGCAAAGACACAAGGCATGTTTAAAGATGTATACAGCAGCCTAAATCAAATTATGTGGCTATCACCTTCAGGATCCACATGCTAAACACCAGATTCAGATGTTAAAAGAGCATGATTTTATCCACTTTATGCAAAAGGAAAGCCTACATCCATCTCCTCCTAAAACACAGAAGATCTAACTCCCACCCTGAAAGGCTCAACCAGATTAGATAAATACTTCACAAACCCATTCAGTGTAAACCACAGAACTCTAGAAACACTTTAGTCCATCCTTGGACACCAGCCAAAGTCACTGGTGAAAGTATAAATAAAATATACCTCGACCCCTTGTTAGAGCACTGCACAAAGAATGGAACACACAAGATGCACTCTCACCATCACTCATTATGAACTCTATAATTTCCTAAGGAATGTTCAAGGCTTGTCACAGGTAGATTTAATATACAGATTTAATAATAGCCTAGATAGGAACAGACAGTGTGTTTAGTTATTTTACAGATGTTGGTAAAGTGGGAGAAGCTTCAAGCACGTCAAAAGTCAGAGAATTCAGATTAATCTTCACAAGTCAAAGAATCATCCTGACAAGTAAATACAATTCTGTAAGGTCAATGAGAGTTTCCAAATTGGAGGAAAGATGGCACAAATACAGCAAAAGAAACAAACAATAAGAGAATACAACGAAATCCTTCCTCAAAACAGTCCAACAAATCTGTCTTGACCACCTGTTCTTCTGCTGTCACCTCTTTTGCACAGGACACAAAAAAGCTTTATTTTTTCACCTTTTCTGTTCAAGCTTAATCAACTAGGTTGCAGTTTGAGTACAGTGGGATAGAACATTCTTTGAGATTTTGCTTTAGAGTGGGGACTTAAACATATGCTTACAAATCTATCAGTTTAATTAATTCCTTAATAATTCCTTTAATTAATAATAACTGTTTTTCTCAGATGACCTTAAAACATTGCTAAAGGACTGAAAATCTTGATAACATCAGAGAGGCTGCTTTCTATTTATAGTTGGCTATTATAGACATCCATATCTTCCTAATCACGACCAGATCAAAATGCATTCTCTGCTGATTTTCAGTTTTCCAAATTTGGACATTTTTAGATTACTAACATGAAATTACCTTGAAGCACATAAATATTTAAGCAGGGATAGTTTACCTTTTCTGGTGGGTGTATAATAAACAGTTTAACCATCATCTATATACAGGCTGTTTTGTTCTCCATCTAAAGAGACAATCACCTTTTATCCTTTCCCTTTTTTTTCTTCGTTTCAGTGCTATTAGGAAACTATTCACAAGTGCAACCCTGAACAATTCCATGCAGTAATTATGACTAAATGACAAAGAGATGCGAACAATTACCGAGTCCATTTTGAAACCCTACACTAATAAAGTCATTAGATGCTGCCCTTGCCATGAGCCTTCTAAAAGCTTCTGAAGTTACAAGAACACACGGCATTGTTCCGTGGGACAATTGCTGCTGGCAGAATGCAAACCTTGAGTTAAACCATGCTGCAAATTGATCTTGACATTCTGTTAAGACCGCCACTAAAATCAAAAGCAAAGGAGAAAAGGAGAAAATGAGCGGGTGGGATGTAATCATGGAACAGAAGGGTTCCCTCCTCACCTTCTTTCCTCTTCCTCCTCAAAACAAACCATACAGAAAATGACAAACTCGCCTGGTGTTTGAGAACCTTTATTTTTAAAACATTAATTAGACTTCTGACCTGTTTTTATTGACTGGCACTGTACTGCTATTAAAGTAAATTAAATAAAAAAATTGCAGAATACAATAGAAAAGGTTTTCACACCGCTCTGTGAAACCTGTTATGGATTTAGTGCCTGAAGAACACGTCCAACAGTTTTGCAAGCAACATAGACAGAATCTGTGGTCACTCCTGAAGAGGCACTGAGAAATTAACTCACCTCCTCCCGCTCTCACAGACCCCACACCTGCAATATATTTGCTGAAGGATCAAATGGGATTGGGGAGCTGGAGTAACATGGTCAACTGGTCTTCATCCAGGCATGCATCATTTGGTAGGTTAGAATTAAGGGTCAGCAACTGTGAATATGGCTAATCACCTGATGACGGAAATTGCAGGTGAACACAACCTGCTGCTGAGAAGCACTTTAGTGAATTAACTCTTTCCTAAGCTTTAGCAAAGTGAAAAACTATCATTTGAACATTAAAACTAACAAATACCTGTCATCAGAGCAAAATTGGCAACACCTTGAAATACGGCGCCCAAGGGCAATAATATCAAAAGCTAAAAAACTGCTACAGATTTTTGAGTCGATGTCTTATGGTTTTGGCTTTGCTTGACAAACACCATGTGTGCTGGAAAGCTCTTAATATTTTGCATTTTCAGTGTTTGCAAATGCTGTGTGTAGAAATATAGGGTGTGTGTGCATGTGTGTGTATACATATCACTATATATATAGTGATATATATATATATATATATATATATATATATATATATTTATACACATGCACACACACCTTATATTCCTTGTATCCAGGAAAGATGTTTCCTGTTTATATGGGTAGCTTTGTGGCCTTTCTCCTCCTTTGACAGGTCACAGGAATATTTCAAAGAATTGCTCCTTAAACTGAAGTCTAAACTGTAGGAGATAAATATTTAATGTATGCCCCTTAACAGTAAAAGCACCACATTATTTTCCTTAATGAAGGCTACTTATTTTATTTCCCCCTTAGTATAATGTTATTATGATTAATGAAAAAATTCATAATCATTGAACTTACTCAAACTGCTCCCTTCACTGCAAACCTGATATCAGAGGCAATTAAAGCCCATGGAACCCCAAAAAAAACTTCCTCTCAACTTTATTAACTAGACTTCTACTTTATTTTGACGAAGTAACAGTCCTGCATGGCTGCAGAATGAAATTTTTATTATCTGACTCCCAAAGTTGTAATGCTTTTGCTCTTGCACTGCTGCTGGCAGGTACTCAGTGCTCTCACAGCATTTTAATCCTACCTACATTCACTCTTCAATCTGTTGGAATGGAGACGAAGATTGAGAGATTCCAGAAGAAATGTGCTATTGTACAGTAATGCAGGTTTGAGGCACATTCCTGTATCAGTGTCAGCTGACAAACATTAAAATTTGGAGAAAATGACACAAATTTGGGGAAAATGACACAAATTTGGAGCTGGTTTTGTTCTACAGTGCTCAGGATGGACTCTCATTTTATTAATGAGAAAATTGGAAACAACTATTAGGACTAATTTTGGAATAGAATTATATCTGTGGATCAAAACATTCAGAAGATTTTTTTGACTTATAAAAGGAAAGTCTTTATAGCTCTTTGAATTTACTCATGCCATACTGACATTGAGCTGTCCCTACTGACTGCTGTAAATCAAGTGAGCCTGATTCCTCTGCTGTCCCACCCTGGCTTTTCCAGCATTTTTACAATGCAATTGGAGGAGTATAAATTAGCTGCTCTTGGGCTACACCAGCAGGCAAAACCCAGTTCCTCCTGTTGTTGCTGTTGTCTTCTCAGCACTCAAATAAAAAGCTGCATTTAACTGTGCTCAAAGGGCTAGAGAACAGAATGGGCTCCAACACCACTGTCACTGTGTCACTGAAGGGTAGTGACTGAAGAGAGGGAATGAGTATTTATTTATGGGAATGCCCACAGTGCATTGGCACTTTCCAAAGGGAGAAGGAAGCATCATGCCCCCTCTGAAGAAATCACAGACTAAGGAGCAGGATGTGACACTAAACACAACCGAGAAATTATTCTAATTCAAGCCAGCATGCCTTGTTTACCCCTTACTATTTTTTGACCTCACTGTTAATATGACAGTTTCTTTGTTGTTGTTAACAGAAAGCAAAAAAAATGAAGGCTTAAAAACCCTATCGTCCAGCACAATCAGGGACTAAGTTCATTGAGAGCAGCTATAAAGCCTTAAACAAGCCCTTTATTTTGTGTTTTAAGAAGTGTCATAAGGAGTTAATAGGACACAGCTGTACAGGCTCTTTCTAACAAGCAGCTTCTGTCGCTTTGGTCACCACAGGTGTCTGTGTAACCTGCAAACTCTTATTACTAGTGTATCAAAGTTGTGCTACTTAATAGATTTCTTTAGTAAAACACAACAAAGCAATTACATGGCTGTTGATCGTTAGTCATAAAAAAACCCCTCAAACACAGTTTTTCAAAAGAAACTACACTGCAATTTTTTGTCATTGTAAAATAAAAGAAACTAGAGAATTAAATAGAAGAGCAGACAATAGAACAGCAGGTAGTCAACTGAACTTAGCCACTACAGATGGTTTAGAAATAGTGTTTCCTTCTACACCAACTTGTGGGATAAAAGAAAAGGAGGAGGCTCCTTACTGCCCATGAATGGCAATACCAAAAGACTTAAGCAACTTTCCAGTCTATGTATTTGGTCCTATGAAAGAACCTAGATGTTTCTTTTTCCTCTATTACTTTTTTCTTTTTCAGAAACTTTTAATCTGTTTTTACAACTGCTTTTTTCCATAACCTTTTACACTTCTCTAGAATAACTCGAACTAGAAACATTGCTGCTGATCCCTCCAATGACAAAATGCAGAAGGTCAAGTGAGGAATTCCTGAGAAACACAAAGTGTCATTTAAAAAGCACATTAGAAAAAGAGACTATTCCATTCTCCAAGGTCACCTCAGTAAAGAAATATTAACTATAATTTATATAGTGAAGACTAGAAATGCATAAATGCTGTATTCTAGTAATCCACAAGAGAAAGAAACATAAATGTATCATTTTCCTTGCTCAATAATCACTTGAATTTTGTAAAGAAGTGGCAATCTTATCCCAGACCAAATGACCATTGCATTTTTCAGTCAAAAATTAGAATAACTCTAATTATAGTAATACGCTTAGGATGTTATCCTGGCAAGACATGATCAGTCATCTTCTAGGTAAATAAAGTAATGAAATAAGGTCCAGTCAGAGAACCAAACAAGTCTGATTTCTAAATGTTACAATAATAATAATAATAGCATTACTTTCAGTAGATCATGATCAACTGATAACTAAAGAAGCGACAGGCCTTGGTATAACATTAAGAAATTCTGTTGGTAATCTACAAAAGTTGCAGAAGGAGGTGAAATCTACAGTTTTAGTTTCTTTACTCATCAGCAAAATTATGGTCTCCCTAAGACATAATATAGCTTTTATTATATTAAAACCAAAATATCTGAATATTCCCAAAAGAATGCTCTGTAGGAAAACTGTAGTTTAAAAAAGTATGTATGAATTGCAAGCATTTAACATTTTGCATAATCTGTTCTTAGTACTAATTTATCACACAAATGTTATTGTTTAAATAAGATTTTCATTAACAACAACAGTTATTACTCCAGACAGCTCTTCATGCAGTTATAGCAACATTCACACACAATTAATGCCATGTAATATCATGGCACTGCAGTGCATGACTGTGAAGGCACATGCTTGAATATAGAATCATGTTTGAAATAAATTAAAAAAAGAAAGAAAATAATTTCTTCAATTACTTTTTCCTGCACAGGAATAAGAAGTCACTTTGTGATGAACACAAGGCCAGCCCAATTCTCAGTGAATGTCAGCCAGCTCCATTGATCACTGAGAACAAGCATGAATTTTAGCTCAAACAGATATAAAGCACCACAGATTTGATAGCCAGAGATAAGGGCCTTCCTGAGAAAAGCTGCTCCACTCAGAGTCCAAGGAGTCTCACCTTGCTCTGTTTGCTTCTTTTGTCATGTCCCATGCCCAGGTTATGAAGTTCTGACTCAGGTAGGAGACAATGGATTCAGCACAAAGCATTTGTGAGCAGAAGACGTTGGTTAGTACACTTTCGTCATGGTGGAGGTAGATAGCAAGAAGCTTTCTCTGGAAAAAAATGTGACAAGAGATGAGTGAAAAGTTCCTCAGACAATTTACAATTTAAAGTTGCTGCTGCAGATTTGTGTTTTAGTACTCACAATGGGATTTATCAAGGGTGGCAAGTATCTCAAAACAAGAAATACTCAGCAGATTTCAAGTCAAATGGTCCATCCCTGCAAATTTTAAATATTCTCAAAATCTTCCTAATATTCTGAGTACTAAAATACAATATATTATGTGCTTAGGACATGAAAAGAACAACAAATGAAAAACAAAAGCCTTATTAACAGACCTAAGAAATGAGTAAACTTTTTTGGCTTGTTGCCTAACAAAAATAACATTTCCGTGAACAAGGAACATTGTCCAGCCTCTTCCCTGGATATCATCTACCACAAAAACCAGTTATAAACAACCTGAAAAAATGATAGTGCATTGCTATCACCACCTCTGCAGCCAAAAAAAGAGGCACTACATGTTGAGATGGTGTCTATGGTCTCTTGAAACAAAATATTCTGTGCTGTTCTTCTGGAACCCTATCAAGTAAAACTTGAGCTTCGCTGCCAGCAGCTGCGTCCCCATGAAAATCTCAGACCACCTTTTGGAAAACAAGTCTGTGTGCATGTAAATATAGAAAGCAGGCTGCAAATACACAGGGAGACTATGAGCTAGCTAAGGACTGTGATTCTGCAACTGGCACTCAATGAATTATAAATATAATTCAGAAAATTACAGCTTTCCATTCCCCCATACCCATATGAATTACTTTATTTTAAAATAGTACTTGAACATATTTGCTGAGAAGATACGGTGCTATTTTCAGACTTTTATTTAAAGTAATTTCAAATCTCTTCATCAGAAGTAACAGTGAACCCTAGATATTGATGTGTATTGATATAGCAAGACATGGGATGCAATTTCCAGATAAGCTGTCTTTGCAGAAAACCCCTGTAGGGCTCTCGCCTCATATACTGGCTTTGGATAAAATTTAATGACTGTTTATAAAAGGAACAGTTGAACATTCGACTTTGGGAAAGGGATTAGTAATTTGCATTACTGTTTGTCTAATTTAATTTAAATGTTCTTCAGAACCACGTACACATGTGCCAGGAAGGGCCATTAATAAGCCCAACATGCAGAGATCCATATAAGTGCAGCCAACAATGTTGACTGAAACTAAACTTGAAAATCCAGGGCACTGATGCACAATATCATGCAATAAAACAGCATTTCTGTGGTGATATTTAATTTAAAAAGAAGAAAGAGGCAGGGGAAGATCAGGCACTGTCTGTTTTTGAGGATCAGCCGTTCTGCATTTCAAAGCGTCGATCCCTGCAATATCCAGGTTACTGTGCTAGAATCTCGACTATTATATAGCAGTTGTAAGAGAGGGAGGGCAAAGATGTGTTTACTCAGTGATTAGGGCCTTAGAATAAGCCTCTAGCTCCTAGAGAGACAGCTCACCACTTATTCATTTGGACCAATTCACAAAGCCTAGAAAGATTAAACATCCATGCTGAGAAGACAAGCGAATGCAGACGGTGAAAAAGAAATAAAAATTCTTTAAAAACTCTGAGATGACTTCATTATTTTTTCCACAAGGAAACTTTAGGAAAGTGTTTAGTTAGAGAAAAACCCACATTGACCTCTCTCTAAACCCTTAATCTTTCCTTTGTGGTGGCACTGCTTTGTGGTAAGCGGATGGCTTTGCTCTCCTCTTTTCACTGGGAGCGGACAGAAAAAAAGGCTCTTGAGAAACACTTTTACTTCCAAAGAAACAACCCCATGAAACTGTTAAATATGAGATTCCGTACAACAGAATGTTTCAAAATATGTACAGTTTTAGGCTTAAAGATTTAGGGACAAATTTCAGTAAACAGAACGGGCACGAACACAATGGAGGTTTACACTGAGTTACTTCCCAAGGGAATGTAATTTTTGTTGCATCAACAAATCTCACCATGCAAAGACTAAACTCCATCACATATAAAAGACTGTACTTGTATCTGATACCACATCCAAAATGTTAAGGGTGGGCACAGGCATACTGCTCTCATAAATGCAAAGAGATAGCAGAGGAACTGAAGTGCTAAAATATTATTTTGAAAAATATTTGTGAAAGCTGGGGACATTTTTTCCGTGGAAAAATGCATGATTGCAAAAGGGTCACAGCTTGAAGTTTGTTGTTGTTGCTGCTGTTGTGTGGGTTTGTTTTCATGTTTGTTTATTTTACTAACCCATGGTAGCACATATTTATAAGCAAGTTTTGGTTGTGTTTATTTCAAGCCTTTGAAAAGTCAGAGTAAATTCTAGGATTCTATTATGACTAATACTGGGTACTTTGAAGTCAATTTTCAACGACTAAAACAGCCTTACAAAACTGTTGAACAGTCTCAAATTACACAAAAGAAGCCTACTAATGGAGCACTAGACTGTTTTATGTTGGGTTTTTCAAATATATGACATGGAGGTTATATAATTAGCATGAAGTTTTAAACAAGGAAAAAAAAAAAAAAAACAGGGAAAAACTTACTAGTCCCTATGAAGGTATAGGACACCAGAAAGGTTTTAAGCACTGAATACCTGAAGGACTTCCAAAGGCCTTAGGACTTGAGGAACTTAAGCCACCAAGGGATGCATTTTTCAGAGTATGTGCATGCTGAAGACCAGGCATTAAAGAGAAGTTAACACACTTTGTACAGAATTAGAAGAAAAGTTGTCACTGAGGCAAAAAACCTGTAGATCTTGAGGTGACTAAATTGGCATCAGTGGGTAATGGGATTTCTAAGCTTCTCAGCCAGTTCCTAATACTGTGAATAACTCAGATAACTCAAAAGAATATGAACTTGAATGAGAATAGGAATGCAATCATAAGGGTCAGCAAGACCACAAACCTGAATGGTTATTTCTAAATCTCAGGTTTACACGTTCAAGTAATGACTGAGACAGAAAAGTTCATGATGTAACAGCTGCTAGAGGCATGATTGTTCTGTCAAACTGGTAGGATAACAAGTCAAAATCTTAATTTTTTCCTCCAGGTTTTATGAAGTGAGAATTAATTCAAATAAACAGGATGCATTTACAGTTTTTTAAATCTTTGAAGTGCACAATCTGATCCACCTGTCCAAGGTGATCTTGGAGCTCATGGGATCAGCCATGGATACAGCTACTTTACCTAGCCTTGTAGAAGACACCTGAAAAAAAAACTTTACCACACAGGTTCCTAAAGCAGGAGTGAGGTGATCCCTGTAAACTTCTGATCCCATACTTTGTATTAAATAAGGCATAAGACATTCCAAAACTAGCTCCTAGTTTAATCTTGCTGTAATTTTACCTTTCAGTAAAACATCTATCTCAAAAATCCATCAATGATGAAGAATCCCCAGGAGCCATGGTAGGGTGTTCAAACAGCTACCCACTCCCAGGTAAAGGTGTGTTAGAGCCTGCTTTAGTCTACTTTCATCTCCCAACTATTTGATCCTATTATACTGTTGTGTCTCCATTTCAATCAATTGCACCTGCAGTGGTATCTTACATAATGCAAATAGTGTCCAGTAATTAACACCAAACTCAGGTAAGATCTATCATCACAAGATTTGAAAGAAGAGAAAATGTAGAGTGAGGCAGACAAGTTCAAAAAACTTCAATTTTATCAAATACAGAGGAGAGACCCATACGCAGGAGCAATCCTTCAGATATAAAAGATTTAGCTACTTTTAGATATGGAAAATGAAAGATGTGTAGGCAAACAGTGAAGCTACTAAACTAGTGTTGTAGTAGCAACTTCTAAACATGGTGACCCACAAATTCAGAAATACTTTACAAATTAAAGGACAGAACTGCTAACACACATCAGAAAAGGCTGGAAAGAAAATGGTGACCAACATGGGACTAAATTGGAGTTTATGGTTCTGATACTTGCCAGAGTGCAGCTGCTTCACTCTTCCTGAAAAGCTAGAATTATACTTCTATACCTGTCCTCCAGTTTCAATCAGACCATGTACATTAGTGGTCAGGTTATTTGTGTTTAATCAGAATCTGTAAAGTGGTAATTCCTCCAGCTGTAATCTGTAATAATTTCAGTATAAACTTCTTTAGCTGAAATAATAAGGGACATTTTTCTGAGTCATACAGGCAAAAATGATGCTACAGAAAGTCCTGCATGAAGGAATATTCTGCTACCACCAAGGAAGAGGGGAAAAAATAGCTTTTATTTGAACACACCAAATCATGGAAGGAGCATATTTTGCTCTGGGTATTCAGGAAATAAAGAACCCATATGTGAGAGGGATGGCGCTGCCTCTAAATTGAACCTAAAAGACAGAATTCAAGGAGAAGAAAAACACGGTTCATTTTCAGAATGCAGGAATATATATTGAGGTGACAATACCAATCTGTGCTAAGAGAGATGTTTCACATATTTATTAAAAGTCAGTGGACAGAAAGGTTGAGAGAGGAGCAGGAGGTGAGCTGACAGAGGTATATAAAGATAAGAGCTCCTGAAAAGGCAAAGGCAATGTCTTTATTCTTTCTCTCAATAAAAGAGTAGCAACCACCTATAAAATGAAAAGACAAAGAAGCTCGAATAAAAGAAAATACTTTATATTACTCTCATATATAACTCAGTAAGCTTCAATATAGCAATTAAAATCCGGTATTAATAACAATACCACCATAAGTTAGGATTGACCCTCTGATGTCTCAGAACACAAGACACCCCCAAACTGCTTTCAGACACAAAGACACCTCTCCCAAACACCTTGTTAAAAATGTCTATTACAGGATTTTTTCCATGGCATCAGGTGTAGCAATTCCTATGGCAGTGTAGCTCTGTAGCAAGAGCAAGCCCATTCTTCAGAAACTTAGTGACAGGGGAACTCTTCTTTCCAATAGACAGAGGAAGACTTTCACAAAAACCAGCTTAATTGTTGATTTAACAAACCTCTGTCTCTCTTTCTCTTCCTGACCCCATTAAAGGAAATACTGAAAATATTTTCTTGTCATATATACAATAAGAAATAAAAACACAACACCCTTAACTATCAGGCTGCTGGAGGCAGTTGGGAATTTCATGGCCAAGGACATTGGCGGTTAAAATCAAGGCTCTGTATCTTGGGTATTGTATTTTTGTGGCAAAGAGTTATACAGGTTTTAAAGCAGAGCCACATTTAACCTCATTCCACCTCGCCTATCAAAAACTGGAATTGTTGTGGCAGCAGTTGCTCCAAAGGTTAAAAGATACTCATCATGTATATTAATTTTCATTGGTTAACGACTCAAACACAGCAGATAAACACCTCAACTTTTTTTAAAGGAACTTCTTTTTCAAGCAATATTTTGTTAAACAACTATGAATTAAGACAGATTTAACAGGAAACATCTATTTTCATAAAAAGAAATTGAACTCATATTCTTCTTCAAAACATTCTGACATAAGTTAATTTTCTTTAAATAACCCAAATTAAAATACCCCTGGAAAAAAGCTTCATGTTTATACACATTGGGTTTTTTTGGTTTTTTTTGGATGTAAAAAGTATCCACAACACAGATTTAAAACACAGCTGATGGCTGTCTCACTAGACATGAACTGCAGAGTGCACCTTCTGCTCTGGACAGAGTTGAGAATTTGTCAAGAAAAGGCCAAGATCTCTGAGCACTCAAGCTGCCAAGTGCTCTCAAATTAAATCAGTTTGAAGCGGTTTTCATTAAGATGGATTGAGTGTGGCATCGTGAGAAACACTCTATCAAATGTAGTGTTTTACTTAGTGATTAAGTATATACCAGTTGATGAAGCTGCCCAAATCCTTCGTAATCCCACCACTCCAATAAACATTTAATGAGTATATAAGTTCAAAAAGCCTAGTAGAGGATTTAAACCTTCAATCTTGTTTTTATTTACTCTTGGAACTCAATTTCTCACTTCAAGTGAAGATTGCTGGTGCCTGCAGCTCATCTGTTGCCCTGGTAAAATTAAGTGCCCTCCATAGTATAAATTAGAAGACAAGACACACAGGTTGCAATTTCTCCAAAGCTTTTTTTTTTTACACTGAAATATATTTTTTAAATTATTTAAGGAAATTAAATTATAGAAGTATGAAATAATGTGTCCCTTTCCTCAATTCTGAATTCCAGAAAAAATTACTTTGTAACAGGGAAAAGCAGTGGAAATAAAGTATTTCCACATTCTCGTATCTTTGCTTAAAATCAGAATGTTACAATAAAAATGAAGCCATTCCAAAGGTGGGAGGGAGAGCTTTCAAAATAAGGCAATATTCAGAAAAAAAACCTCAACAATCCAAACAACACAAAATTAATCCTCTCCTAAATATACATATATATATATATATATATATATATATATATACACAAACAGTGTTTTATACACAATATACACAATGGTTTTATTGTGATGATGACCTGGTCTGAATAAGTCACAAAATATTAAAAATGTAAGGCAACACGAATTTCAAAAGTAGTATGTAAGTAGCACAAGAAATATTTTGAGCAATAAAAAACTAAGTAACTGCACTGCATTATTATCAGATTTATAGGTAGAAAACTGTTTATGAAAGTTCTTCATGAGTTTTGTCCACTATTACACTGATACACTGTCAACCATTTCTGATGACATGACACTAAATGAACTTCCCAACTCACACCCTTTCCTTGTTCAATTCACAGGATTTTTTCTCTGTGCAAAGACATGAAAATATTCACTAAACTTAGAGTGTTAAGTATGTGTCAACTTCAGCTATATAGTGTAGATTTATAATTCTCACATTTATCAGAACAGCCCCTAACATAATACAGAAAGTCCTTCCAACATGAATAACTACTTTCTTCATTTTAAAATTAAACATCTATCAAGAAAACAAAAAGTAAATTTAAACAGCATGATTTTCTTGTTTGTGTTTCAGCTTTATCTGTGCTTAATTATGCAGGGTTTTGGGTTTCTCCTTGGTGAATCAAGGCACCAAAACTTAAATAAACTGTCCCCATTCGAATTTTATTAAAATACTGATTTTAAAACTGTGCATGGAATAACAGAAACTTGAGATGCCTGGTTGGATATACAGAAAAACTAAACAACCAAACCTTAGTACTGGAACTTACTTGGCAGATAAAGGCTCTACAAAGGGGGGAAAAAAAGCACACTGTATTTGAGAGAGCTTCCAATTTAAATTTACAATTTCATTAGCCATTCTTCAAAGGAGGTACCAACATGCAACAGTGAACTTGTCAACCACAAGACTCAGAGGCAGGGTTATCTGGTGCTAGGACACCATTATTTCAGGAAGAAAAGGGAGGAGGGCAAAAGAAAAAGAGTAGCTTTGACAACTAAAGAGCTTCAGTAAAAATACAGCCTGAATGATAAAAAGCATCAGTTATTCACTGCAATTTCAGCAACCACCAAGGTAAGTCTTTTAGTCAGTCAACTGAATGAGTGCAACTCTTCTTGAACAATAAAAGCAAAACAACTCCAACATGTAGCTCAGCTTTTCAAAAATCAAGATGAAATCCTTAAGGTGATTTCCAGTCCCCCACTATTTTAAATAAAGTACTTTTTAATACACACTTACATCTCTTGCTTTCCCATAGAAGGCTTCTTGAAAAGCAGCCTCTAATGATCCAATAAAATAAACAGGATGGCAGTCACCATATCTATTTGAGATAAAATTTCCAATTAATAAAAAGGACAAAATCAAGTCATTTCAATATTGTCCCTTTTCATATATTCAGTAAATATAATGCATTGGCTAAATCTTTAGAAAGATGAGTATTACACTTCTAAAGGACAGAAAGAAAATATTTAGGACCCATTTGTTTTCTGACATTGGAAAACTCAAAGGAATGAACTACCTTACCAACTTTATCATAAAAACATTCTGTTTACACATGAGTTACCTTAAGTTCTACACAATTTTCTACAAAATTCCTATAAAATTTTCAAATTATTTATTCTCTTTATTATATTCTTAAAGGTTAATTGAAGGCTATTCTTCCATTACACATTAATGCATCTCATACACATAAAGGAATATTTCATCACTGGAGTGAAAACAGAAAATACATAAACTTTCCATTACTTTGCAGCTTCTACCTATTCAATGAAACAAGCAACTGTTTAACAGTGCATGATTTGTAGTAGAAAGTTTTTTAAAAATCCAGAATATCTCTGTTTTTTAACAGTCAATATTTACCCAACCATTTTGCTACTGTGAAAACTCTTACAGCAACGATGTATTTATTTTTCAATACTAATCAGTTTCAGCTTTTCTGTTCCTGCATGTCACAATAAAATTATTATATATAACCAGTCTTTCTCATCCTTCTGGTCCTTTACATAATTAAGTAATGGTACTACATAGTGGCAAAATAAATAGGACAAGAATCAACTACTCCAGCTTTGGCTGAGAAATAATTTTATTTCAGAACTAGTTCTAGCAGCAGAATTAGAATTTAAATAAATTAGATTAACATTTCTAAATATGCTATAATCTCACAAGAAAACATGTAGACTTGGTTTATTCTTATTTTCATTATTTACTAACTTCAACTGAGTTTGTAAAAAGAATGGGACAGTTAACAGTCTAAGCTTACCTTGAAGAAAACTCTGCTGTAAATTGTAATAAGGCATCTCCTTCATTTTCAGCATTTTCCGGCACTTAAAAAATTGGAGAAAAAAAAAAAAAGAAATGCAACTCTATGGAAACAGAATGTAATATGCAAACACATTCACTTCACAGGTATTTCATGTTCCCAGCTTACTGAAGTGTTACCAAGGAACCATATAAACTTCATGAAAGACTATTGAGTATAACCTTTCAAAAGACAAGAAATTTTCTGAGGTCTCATGAATATATTCAGGTTTTCCAAACAGTAAAATCCTCAGGTCCAGTGTGATGTGATATTTCACTTGCTCTGGACTTACTTTAAGACTTGAAAGGCTCCACCCTTCCTATTGAAAATGTTAGAAAGCTTTCCATATTATTACATATATTTGCTGTCAAAAAACTTCTAATGAAGTAACACTACTGCAAGCCTAAAGTAAATAAAGAGTATGCAGGAACTGCATGTAGGAGGTAACTGACTGCTCCTGCTCAATCCTTTCCATAATTCAAGGGCAAATAATCATTGAGAAACTTGATCAGCATAATGAGTAAAACATTAATCAGAAATAGAATCTGTAGAATTTTCAAAACAGGGAAGTGGAAATCTAGTTATCTATAGGTGCATTTGGATAGAGATCACAATTTCTCTGACTTTATTTGTTACTCATCAATTTTAAGTTCAATTATTATTCTTCAGTTGCAAGGTTAAAATTTTCCCTCCACAGAAAAGTGCTTCTATAGTTGCCAGTTATGTGTGCAGTATTTTCCTTTGGTACATCCATCAGACATGACATTCAAACAATTCTAACCAAAAGATGTTTTCCAGTTTTTAAATCTGCAGCCCCCTCCCACCTCTCTGCCTTCACCTCTGCTGTACAACCTCCAGTTAATTGTAACTCTTACTCATTGGCGATTTCCTCAAGGCAGATGAAGCTACTCCAAACATTTCTCCATCATCAACTCCAAACTCAGTAGCATCTTCAAAGTCATCTCCATCACTATCACTAACCATATGAACATCAGTGCATTGCTGTATAAAAACAAAACCCAAATTCCACTGTAAGCTTCTATTTCAGACATTGTCAGTGAAATACTAAATGCACACACAGTGACAAATACACAAACTGTGGTTTGATTCACTATTTTATACAGCATTATCAAAGGTAATTTTTAACAGAAGTCTGGTTGACAGAAATATTATGCGACAAAATGCATTAATAAAGAATCTCTGCATATACATAGTTAAGCAAATTTTATTCAAAGTTAATGCCGGTTTTCCATCTAATGGTACCAGAGCTGCTATAAGAAAGCTGCATAAGAAAAAGGGAGAAAAGCCACACAATGGTGGCTTTTATATTGGTATTTGCAATACCCATACAAAGGATAAAAATCTAAATTTTAGTGCAAGGAGCTAAGGTCATCTCCCCCAGTCAGATGCTTTGCTGGGATTTGTTTGCTTTCTTTTTCCTCTTTTTCTTCAATGACTCCTTTGCCCAGTTCCTCACTTGGTCACAATTGCAGGAACTGTAAATGGATTGCTGTAAGACACAAATCTATTGACACAGCACAACAGGAGGGATGGTGACCACTGCACCCTGAGGTGTCCCTGCCTGCTCCGAGAGGGGACAGGGATGATGTCCTTACCTCCTCTGACTGCTCCCTTGTTTGCACAGGTGAGGATCTTCTCCCAACTGTGAGTCGATGGCAAGGAAAAGTCAGTCCTGACACGGCTAAAGTCATCTGCAAAGCAAGCAATGGTTCTTCATTAAAGCCTCAGTCTCAATTAAAGGTTGAGGGGAGGGTTTAAGGTTGTTTAGAGGTTCAAATTAAAGACTGCATTATTTAAACATATATTAAGAAGCTGAAAAACCAAAATTAGTCCTTACATTAAAATATTTAAGGAAACATCAATTGAGTTTTACTGAGGTGTATGCACAAATTATCCATGGAACTGCAAACTCCAAAGGGCCTTGAGTTCTTTCCCTTTCTCCTGAACCAGTATTGAAGTTTGAAATGTTACTGTACATGGCAACTTTTACAGTTCTATGCATTGATGATGCAAATAAAGATTTTTATTTTTGCTAATCAAGAAGCAATTGTTAAAGATGCCAAGTACTGATACACATAATTAAAACCGGTTAAATTGTCTTGAAAAAAATTTGTATTTTGAAAGATCTGTTTATCAGCAGAGATTGCAATAGACACAATCGCATTGGCAACTTAAAAATGTATTTCTTCTCCTTTTTGGTGATTTTAAGTGTCAAGGGTGCACACCATGTTCCTCATATGAACAAAGACACATAACTCAAACTGCTGACACTGCAGTCAGCACAGGATGGATGGTCAGTAGCCAGTGTCAACAGAAACAGCACTTCTACCCTTTGCTGTATGCCTAAATCTCAATTTTTAGAAAAATTCTACTGTCATTTAAAAGACAAAATTATTATGATGCTTGCAAACACACAGCAATAATATTTGAAAATCTGGTCCTATATTGCATTTAAAAACACACTCACTATAATGCCTAAAAATGAGAACTGCCCACTCTGTGACCAGAACCACCTGTGCCATCCCTGCATTTCAAGCTTCTGCCCCACTCCTGCCTTTTCTGGAGACCACAGCAAGCTTGATGACCACAAATAGCAATTTCAGAAGCACCTATCTGGAGTGATTTTACAATGCAAGTGACTCCCAAATAAAGATAATCAATTTTTTTTTGGCAGTGACAAAGTATTTAATGCAATTTTCAGTGATGTGGAGAAGGGTAGTCCTGACTGTATGTTTAAAACATATTTTGTAATGGTTCCTTCAGATGAAACACAGAGAGGACAGAAAAACACCTAGATCCTGCAAAACTTATTAGTATTTTTGCAGAGTACAGAACAAAATATTTACATTATACATTTCAGAAATATAGCACTCTCCTAATTGGACTGTAAAAACGTTTAGGTAAAATACATTTCAATCATTCTCAACAAAAACCCCAAGAATAAATCATAAGCCTTAAATTTCATTTACTGCCATGAGCACTGAAAATACCCCATTTATTTTTTATACATAATTCAGAGCGACTTTCTCACTTGCCTGCTAGAACTCACAGAGATTTAATTTGCTGCAGGTTGAAGCAGGCTGATTAAGCAGGCTGGTTACCAAATGAATGTTAACCTGTCTGAACTAGCCTACTGTCACATTCTCACAGCAAGGTTAAACACAAGTTTAGCTGTGTAAAAAGCCCAGCAATCGCCATAAAGGAAGTGAGTTTTAATACTCTGGAGTAAATGAAATATTAAAGACGACACCCAGCTCTAGACCAATTACCTATGAAACTCCTGTGACAAGAGCATAAGAACTGCATTCTCTGCCATAATCCGCCATTTCAATTATTATTTTTATAAGCTTTTAATAATAAACAAAACCCAACTGTTATAAAACCTGAAACTTTGCCCTGCAGTTATCACACCATATGAAATGCTGGTAAAACACACAAACACCCACATGAACCACACACAGACCACAGCTCCCTCTCTCACAGCATCAAATCCCCTGACAGATGCCTGGAAAGGCTCCCAGTATCTTTTACATGCACATTAAAGAGAGAGTGGTAAGATCAAGCAGGCAGTTATTGTGCTGCTTCATCACTTGGCCCAATTGCAGGGTGTTGCAATTCCAATTTGCAACCCTATATTATCGTGTCAAAGCGTCTCTCAAACACCAGCTAACAGCAGAAGGGGTTCCACATCAGAGCCTGTTTCATCCCACCCTCCACACAGTTGCTGGAATGTTGGGGGTTTGTGCACATGGGTGTGAGAAATCACCCTTTCCCTTGCCTTTTTTTTCCCCCCCGTTCCGAAAAAGTGGGGGTTTTTTTTGCAAAAGAAATAGCAGTTCTGCCTTCATTCCAAAATAAACACCAAGCATCAACATTCTTCTAGAATAAAGTTATCTTCATTCAAAGATAGAGAGTTCTCTTGCAAAGAAAGACTCTTGCACCACAGAAGCTCAAGCTTTATTTTGGTAATCATAAAAACACCAAGACTAAGCAAAACATTGTTTTCAACAAACCCTTTCCTAGTCCTGTGAATGCAAGGTACTGATGGAAGCACCACTGAAATGTCTCAGTGGCAAGAACTGTAGAGCTCACACTGCTCTAGGAGAGGTTTTTCTTTCTGAATACTGCACCTGCCTCCTCCCAAACAGAGATGCAGAAAATTATCATTGCAATAAATTATCATTGTTTCAGCCACCTTCCCATGGGAATGGACAAAATCTTTATACCAACCCCACAACTGAACCAACCCCAAAAGTTGGTTTGTAGCCAGAGTACCTGATTACCCAGATTCTCTAGCTTATGAGCCCATGTGGATGTGAAAAAAACCTCCAAAGTCAGTCACTTTTCTGAATTTTTCTTTTTTTGCATGAAAGTCACCACTATGTGGGTACCAGAGCTTGAATGGGATCGCTTCCACATCCCCAAGAAAAGACACTGAAAATGCATTTGCAGGACACATGCATGAACAAGGTAGGTGTAGGTTATAAAAGAAATAATACAAAAGCAAAAAAAAAAAAGATTACTCTCTTTTTTAGGCAGGGAAATTATGCTTGTGCAAATCAAACTGTCTCAGAACTGAAAGGTACGAGGTAGAAAGTGAAACAAAATCAGAAATAAGGAAAATTGCTTGCAAAAAGTAACTTCAGAGCCAGATCTTTTGTCCAATGCTGTGTAGACATTGCTTGTATTTATTTAAAGTAATCTCCTACTTGGCTTCCTATAGCATTTAATGAGAAGGAAAATAAAATTCAAGATATCAAACATTTCAGGAGAGTCTCCTTTTAGGAAACAGCAGAGATACTACATGGATTCAGGAGCTCTGGGATTCAAATGGTAAGGGTACAACCTGGACTAAAAGTTTACAAAAGGTTACCTGAAATAAATTTTAACTACTAAGAGAAAGATCACTACAAAATCTTACAGTTTAGAGAGGAAAGAAATAGCATGGTGCTCACTAGTGCTTTCCAGCTCTAAGACACTAATACTATTTGTAAATGCCCAGTGTGAGATGATTTGCTTTTCAATTGCCAGCATTAGCAATCGAGGAATAAATTTAAGCAACACTTTTTCTGATCCAAACATGCAGGATTCTTTGTCAACCTTCCAGATTAACCCAGAAATATTTGCCAAATCTGGAATGAGACCAGATGCTTTAAACAATAAATTATTCTTCATGTTATATTAGTTTTATGTTGAAGCTTCTATAAAAAAATTCAGAACAGTCTAAACACACTATTTTTTCCCCAAATATTTCATGATACAAATGTACCTGAAGGAGAGAAAGATATTATTGAGAGCATGTAATTCCAGAGTGCTGTCACCTCATGCTCAGAATAATATGAAAAATTACAAGTCCATAATCTCAAAACCTTGTATCTTCTAGAAAGAGTTTATTGGCACAACTTAATTCCCACTCTTGCAGACTTCTGACATTACAAATGAAGGAACAAACCCAGTCTCTTGCACCAGTCCAGAGACATTTAATCAAGATGCTGAAGGTGTGAGAAAGATAAACAGTACAAGGAACATGAAGGAACAATACCAGCAGAGAACTCCAGCTGCAGAACTCACTCCTCTGAGAAACGCTGATACAAAAATTATAAGCTCAGTGGACTGCATCAGGAAAGGAGTAATTGGATACGACAAATTGGCCTTCCTCATGTTCAGCCACACACTGATGGAGAAAAACAGCATCTCAAAAGAGATTTGAATGGCAGCCATGCCTAATGAGGAAAGTGAAGGAAGATGTAAGAGCTTTCTAATGCCTTACAGAATATAGCTGGGACACCCAAAGTGTCCAGCTTAAGGCAATAATCTGTACAGAACAGGACATTCTTCCTCATCCTCAATTATTGAGAGCTTGTGCTGTTCACAGGACACTTGCCTTCAAGGGATCCCATCTCTGCAAAGGGATAAAGCTTTTTGTAAACAAGAACTATTCAGAACAAGCAAGTATAATGTTCAAGGAAGGTAGAAATATTGGTTTATTTTGTGCTCCTTGTTCGGGTTTTGATTATTACAAGAGCAATGAATTTTTTTTCACTTTATAGAAGGTTTTTGAGTGTGCGGACACTGATTTGCTTTAATAGACATTAATCCATCTATCTGAACATACAGACACCTGTTAATCAGGGCAAGTTATTAAATGGAGCCTTCAGCTATAATACTCAGTACTTGTCAATTTTAAAGAAAACAGCTTTTGGCTGTTTAAAAGACCACTGAAAAGGAGAAATTGTTTCAGTCATTGTAACAAGGTCATTTTATTTTCAAACTACTCAAATGACAAATTCTTTCCAACTCACTGGAGAGGTATTTTTCCATGACAAAATATTTTCTAATCCCATTTTTTTGGCAAAAAGTAGAGATTCTTGATAATTTGTTCTCAGAAATTCAAAGGTCAAACTGTAAATCTCACAAAGCATCAGACAGAAATTCAGAGACTACTTGATCCATACACAAAGAAGAAGATTCTATAAATGATGCCAGATTTCACTTGCACACACAGAGCAAGTGAAGCAACAGGCAATACCTGACAACGGCAAGCCAAAACCAAAACCTTGCAGTGGGCAAACCTTTTGGATTTTTAATATAAAAAGATCCTAAAAATGTAATTTCTGTATAACATCACTGATATGAATCAGTCAAATTATTCAAGCAGCTAAACTTCTAATACAGAATCATGTTTGGCTGT